AAACAGATTCACACAGCGTCCAGTCTTGTCCGGCAGGTCTGGCTGCTGCAAAATGCAGTCAACGAAGATCTCCAGCTTATTTCTCAACTAGCTAAGTTTCTGTGAGACCCCCTTCTCTTCAGAGCCTTCTTCCTGAAGTGGGCTGGGTGAAAAGGAGATACTCCTTTAGGGTCTGAATCTGGCTGAAGCTACATGACTCTAGACTGAAATATCCAGAGCCCAGTGGGCTAGACTGCAACCCCAAGGCTGCCATTCCTCTGGGGTAGGGCAGGTCATTTTCTTTACCTCAGTCAGGGTTAGCTCTACAAGGACAGGGACCGAAACCATGCTGCTGCTCTCAGATCGCAGTGGCAGCTCTGACCAGGTGACAATGCTTGGGCTCAGGAAGCTGTTTCCTTGCAAGTGTCTGTTGTTGTCACAGAAACAGACTGCGGGCTTGATGGAGGCATGGAAAAAGCAGGGGCTCTGGGTCTTGGGGAGGGGCTGGGCTTGGGAAGGGGCTGGGCTTGCAGTCCACAGTGCACCTTGGGGAGGAGGGTCAGTTTGCCCTTCTGAAGATCTACAGGAAACTCTACCTCCTTGTGTGAATCAGACCCCCACGGGTCAAATGTTCTGTGCTCCTCCAAGCCTCAGGAAATCTTGCCTGAACCAGCCAAATTCTAGAAGCCCACACACTTCCTTCTCTTGCCTATAGCTCTGTCTCGGGAGCCAGTTTTATGTATCCACTGAGGTAAGAGGGGACAAGGGACCACGTGTACAGCTCAGCTCTGAACATGATGTTTGTTTCTGAGGCTGATGGTCAGTGGAGCGGGTCCCCCAGGGGCAGGGAACATTTTGCTAGGCTTGGATTAACTTGTGTTCCTTTGCTCCACCCCAGCAGGGTATTAACTTATGGCGACATCCTGGAGCTTGTGTGTGTGCTGTGTGTGTGGGTGAGTGTGTGGGTGTGTGGGTGAGCGTTGAAGGGAAGACAGAATGGATGGAGGGTTATGGGCACCAATTAAGAAGTAGACCTGGGTAAAGCAGTGCCAAGAATGGTGCCAGGTTCACAGCCTGTAGTTTTCACGGGATGGAGACGTTAGGACTGCACTGTTTCCAACATTTGGTCCCAAACCCACTTCCCTTCCCTCCCCTCCTAAGTAGTGAGAACTTGTCGTGGCCACGGGGACTCTCAGTGTTTCCTCTGAATGACCTTCTCAGCACAGACTGAAGCCCTTAGGCAGTTTGGCCTCTTTAGAGTGACTGAGCCTGGCTGGGGTGGGCCAGGTAAGGATGGGTCCCAGGGTCAAACAAGAGAGAGCAGAGGTACAGTCCAGTGTGGCTGAGTCAACAGAGAGGGAGGGAAGGAGACAGGAGAGGGAGGTCCACTTTTTGTCCTGGAGTTCTTGGGCAGTCACTACCACCCTCCACTTGTTCTCACTGCGGGGCACCATTCAAGTCCAGAGTCCCACCCAAGAGGTGGGTCACATGAGCTTGGTTTATATAATCTCCCTGTCACTGAACAGCTGGAACCCAAGGCTTCAGAAGATGAGTCAGGCAAACAGGACCAAGAGATTCCATCACTTCTAGAAACAGGTCCCCCAGCAGAGAGAGAAAGGGCAGGGCGGGAAGATTGTGTGCAGCAGAGGACAGCCTAGACCCCGCTTGGGTCCCTCAGTTCCTGGTTCTGTGTGGAGGAGGCAGGTGCCTAGCCTGCTGACTGTGCTGAGAAGGGACCTGGGCCAACCCTTGGCTCTTCCCGGGGAGAGGAGGTGAGGCCTGGGCGGGGCAAGTGCAAGGCGGAGGCCAGCAGGCAGGGTGCCAGGGCCGGCCAGGGAGCAGCTGGGGGGTGGATCATAGAGGATTAGAAAGGATTGTAGGGGTTAAAGCACAGGCCTGGCAGTGCTCAGTGGGAACAGCTTGTCCTTCCATAGGCCCCGGGAACAGAAGAGGTGGGGCGGAGGGGGGGCAGCCTGGGTTGCTGCTCTCTGGCTTTAGACTCTGCAGGGCTGAGCCACCTGGGCTGGCTTGCCATCCTCACTGGGAGAGTGAGGTTACTCCTTACCCCTTGGTGGCTCCTGGCTCATTCTTCTCTGTTTTTGGTGAACCGGAGCCTCAGGGGAGACCCTCACAGTCCCAGGGTTGTGCCGCACCCTCACCCACTACATTCCTCCCTACAGGTTATTTGCTCACAATCGGTGGAGGCCGTGAAGCCCCAAGTGAAGGTTGCCCCGGTACTGTTTTAGTGGCTTCAGATGCCTCCACCCTCACTGCTGCTTTGAGCCTTATGGCATCCCTATGAGGTGGGCAAGGCAGGAGTGAGCACTCACTTTTATAGAGGAAGAAAGGCATCTGAGCCACCCAAGGTTAAAGGGTCAGACTGTGTCTTTCAGAGGTCAAGGGACAGCCTGGCTTATCCTCAGATGACCTCTTCCTTCTCTACCGCTGAGGACACAAACATTCAAACCTACCTCCTATCAAAGCAGGTAAGAATGGATTTCTTGAGGTGAACTGAAGGCAGGAGCTGGCTCACACATTCTCGCCTCCCGAAACACATGGCCAGGTGCAAAGATGACTGACCTTTCCTGAGCACCTACTGTGTGAGCACCTACTGCGTGTCTGAGCGCCTACTGCGTGTCTGAGTGCCTACTGTGTGTGAGCGCCTACTGCGTGTCTGAGCGCCTACTGCATGTCTGAGCCCCTACTGTGTGTCTGAGCCCCTACTGCGTGTCTGAGCACCTACTGTGAGCACTTACTGCATGTCTGAGCACCTACTGTGTGAGTGGCTACTGTGTATCTGAGCTCCTACTGCGTGTCTGAGCACCTACTGCGTGTCAGTAGTGCTCCTCTGGCCCAGTAATTTGTGCAATGGGACCTGTGGGCGCTTTCATTTTACAGAAGTGCAGACAGCTTCACATGAAGGGAACTGCCCAGGAAAGCTGGGTACTAGGTGCAGAGTACTGAGCTAGGAAGCAGAGCACCGTGAAGATGCTTTGTTTTAGAAAGAAGCCATCTTTGGAGAACAGAGATTACTGGAAAGCTTAGGAGGGGGTGCAGATTTCAAGGCATCTGCTCTCACTGCTTCAGGATACAATCAGCCCCCGGAAGAGAGCACAAGAGGTGGAGGTTAAGTGAAGGTCTATAGGCCAGTGAGACCGTGGAGGTCTCTCCTGGCTGGTGGGATTGAGTGGGGCTCAACCTTAGGGCATCCTTGACCACCTAACAGTGTTGTGCCTTGCTTCTGGGTGGGAAGGATGGCGAGGGTGGGGATTGACCTTGCTCAGGATATGTGTTCCTTCTATTAGGTCCTTTCTGAAAACAAGTCTCTCTGGCTCTGGAACGAGGTAGGGCCAGGTATCTCCGGGAGCAGTGGTGGGAAAGGGGGCAGCAGACTTCAGAAGAGTTGTACCCAGGCTGTGGGGATCTCACTCCCAGTAAGGACAGAGCACACTCTTGTGAGGCAGACGATGGGAGTCTGCAGTTCAGTCTTTGGCCAGGAAAGCTTCAGCCTTAGCATGCTTAGGCAACCGGAAAGCTTGTAACAGGGCAGATTCGACGGCACTATCAGAATATCTGGTGCATGTGCTCCAGAGGCCTGGTGAACCACTAAGTGATCCCAGTGCAGGCTACCTGCAGACCTCATGGAGAAGCAAAGCACGTATATACAAGAAGAGTTCCTTTTTTCTCCGCAAAGGAAGAGCCAGCAGAGGCTCCCTCCACCCATGGGAGCATTGCCCCTCATCCTCACTCCCCCGTGAACAACACAGCATGTCCCAGTGCACCCTGCCCCATCCTGTGCCTGTAGCCAACCCTAACCGTTAGGGTCCAAATGTTCTGGGAGACGCAGCTTTAGATCTACCATGACACTTCCCAGATGGCCCAGCCAGGCTGAAACACTTTAAGTATTACCAAAGTTGTCCCAAGACCTTTCGTCATGACACACTTTATAGCTTATGACCCAACTATGGCCCCAGGTCCTGAATGCTCCCCTGAGTGTCTGAACAAACCCTCCAAAGCACCATTTCTTCTTGTGGCACGGCTCTCATTTACCAAGAACTAACTTACGTTCTATGAGGAGGGGTACACAAGGAAACGGAGAACACGGCACCCGACCCTCTTGTCCACACGCTTGCCTACTTATGTGTTCTTCTGCCCATTAATCCACCCACCCACCCACCTCTTCCCTCCCCCAGCCCCTCCTCCCTCCAATCTAGTCACTCATCCAGCCACCCGTGCAATCAGCAGGTCAGCTGAGCTCTGAGTTGCCGGAGGCACCCGGGGAGGGGGGTAGAGATAGGATCATTTGAAATCTCCGAGAGCTTGCCACCTAATGGACACACCAATAACTACAGGAGAGGACGAACGTAGTCACTGCCCCAGGGGAGGTGTGTTCAGGGATTAGATGTGAGCGAGACCATGCCAGCCCTTGGTCAATCTCCAGCAGAACCTCTTCCTTCATTCCAGCCCAGACAGGGCTGGAGTATTGCGGTATTAGATCATCCCCAGACAAAAGACTCTGCACTATTTTCTCCAAAGACACAAATCCTACTATCCAGATACCCTGGATCTGAGCTGCCAGCGTCAGGGGAAGAGTTCTCCTACTCTTGATATCTCATGGGAAAGTAGGGATGGCGTGGGAGGATGGCTCTCTTCACAAAGAGAGCACTGTGGTCACCTCCACTCTGGCATCCATCCCTGGATGGACCAGGGCCTACATGGGACCCTGACATTTTGGATGGGAAAGTACAGGGTGAAAAACAATGCAGATAGGGGTGTCGGAACATTCTAGAGATCTTTGGACCAATTCCCAAGTGTGAAAGGCTTTGGAACCTGGGTCGGCCCTTCCCCTCAGCTCTGAGCCATGGAGCCACCAGCCATGCTGGGATGACCTTTTCTCCTACTTGTCTTCACTAGTGCAGCCATCAACCATGGGTCAGGTTGGGAGATCTGTTCCTAGCCTGGCCCTTTATAAGACTGTCTGTCTCCCCAGCCCGTCACAGGATCCCCAAGAGTAAACTCACCATGGTGTCTTGCCCTGGGGAATTGGAGCGGCTGGGCCCAGAGACCTGGCCCTTGCCCTTCTCCCACAGTGTGTAGCGGCCACTTGGTCGGTAGGTGGGACTGAGGACTTCAGGGACTCGGGAGGGAGGGGCTTGCGTGAGCACCTGTGGTGCACTGCCCTTGCGACCATAGTTCTCCAGGTAGTCTGTTAGGTACTCATTGCGGCTGGCTGCTTGGTAGAGGCCCTGCAGGGCACAGAGCTCCTTACGGGTGCGGGCCAGCATGGGGCTGCGGCCCAGGTTCCCCGGGTCTATCCGGTAGCCATCTGAGGTCCGGTAGCCATCTGAAGTCCGGTAGCTATCTGAGGTCCGGAGGCTGGAGAAATCCCGGGCCAGGTCCGAGTGGCTGTTAGATTTCTTCTGGCTCAGGGTCACCCCCTGGTCTCGGGCACTCATGGGCAAGTAGCTGAGGGAGTTGCTGGTCACTCCATACGTGAATCCACTACCTCCATTGAGTCCGCTGCCTGAAGGCCTTTCATTGCCCCGGGTCTGGCTCTCAGCGCGCTTACTACCCCCAATGATGTCAGGTCTCAGCAGGGGGCGGCCCCTGTCATAGTCCAGGATGGAGGAGGGGCCGTAGGTTCGGGGCCGAGGGAGGAAGCTGGTTGGGGAGACCGGCTTGAAACCAAGTTTTTCCTTCTCCAGGAAGGAGGCGGCCAGGTTGGCCCCATAGGAAGAGGGGGTGTAGGTGCTATAGCCCGATTTGGCATAAGGGGCATCTGTGTAGCGGGACGACTCTGTATAGCGCTTCAGGGTGGAGGAGAGCTGGGACATCCTTCAGGGTGGCACTCAGTGGGTACTGGGAGCCTCATGGGCTGAAAGACAAGGAAAGCAGTTGTCAAAGTGTCCTGCAAAGTGCCAGGCTTACCCCTTACTTGCTCTTTATGCCACGCGGGCCACGACCTTAAGACCTAACAGGCGCTACTCAGGGCCTGCCCACAACAGGCTGGCTAGCTTCAGAGAAACACATATGCAAACAGGTATGTACACGGGCTTGTGTGTACCCATGGACACACAAGAAAAATCAGTATCGGTCTGTTGCGGTCTCCCTTGGTTCTTCTAAGACCCAAACATACAGTTTTCCAGCCCCCCTCTATGTCACACACAATCTCTAGGCAGATCCCACCCTGGGCTTCTTCTAAGTCTTGGCAGGAACTTCAGAGCTGGTGGGGATTGGAGGAGTCCCGCCACCTTCATTGCCTGGACTGAGGACAAGGAGCATTTTGAGTTACAGCTGCTTCCCTGCCTTTGGCAAGCAATACTCCTTCAGGTACAGACTGCCCCCTGGAAATGTGCTGGTGACCACAGGGTCAGATTCCTCAAGAGGAAAAAGAGGTCTCAGGAGAGCACGTGCCCTAGAGGAAGTGGTGAGGGAGTGTCAGGCAGAGGGGCTGGACCCGACCTACCTCAGTGCTCTTCCTTGGACACAGGCACCTGCTGCTTGGTCACACAGCGAGGGGAACACTGGCGACATAGAACCTATCTATTTTCTTCCCTGTGTTTGGCCTAGTCTAAGTGGAGATTGAGAACCTATGGTCTAGGAGGTTTCCTGATCAAAGCAGGTGCCAAACTACTCCCAGAGTTACTTGACTTGTGCAAGAGGCGCCCCCTAGAGTCGAGATCCTGTACTGCAGAGGAGAGTCCCAGATTGAAGGTTTTTGCGGATTAATCACTGAATGTGGAGGTTGGACAGCCCTGAAGGTCATGCATTTTTAACCTCTCTATCGTACAGATAGGAACAGTGGCGCTTGTTTGCCCAAATTCACATGCTAGCTAGAGTTAGGACGGAGCCCAGGTCGTGGCCCAGCACTCTTTCCCCTCATCAGTGTTAAACTGGTCCAGAGACGCCCAGAATCCCTTCACATGGGGCAGCAGTGGAGAAGGTGCTTTGGAGCAAGGAGCAAGGAGCATTAGGCTCCTTTCTTCGGGCACTTTTGAGTCAGGAGCTCAGGTGGAAGCCTATCCAGGACTCTCAGAGTAACATGTGGTTTAACTCCCCTCCCCCCACTCCCCGTGTGTGTGTGTGTGTGTGTGTGTGTGTGTGTGTCACACATGAAAGTCAGGGGGCAACTTGTGGGAGTCAGTTCTATCTTTCCACCATGCAGGTTTTAGGGTTTGAATGTGGGTCGTCAGCTTTGGTGGTGGCAAGTGCTTTTTGACTTGCTGAGCCATCTCACTGGCCCCGGGGTTAGTTTTGACTCCCCCGTGACAGGCTAGCTGAGCAAAATTACCCTAGTTATTTAATCTCTTTGAGCCCCAATTTCCTCACGTGTAAATGAGCATAATAATCATCAGGAATCCTATCTCGTTGTTGTAAGGAACCAGTGAGATAATAATACGTGAAAGCATCTAACAATGGTTATTATCTCCTCCGTGGCCCCAGCCTGGCAACCCAGCTCCTCCCTTTGTAAGTAGTATATAATAATGGGAGGGCTCCCTATCTCCTGGCTTGGCTGGCTTAACCTCAGCTTGGGCGCCAGGCTCCCCCCTGCCATCCCCAGTGAGTTAAGTGGGCAGTGGGCAGACATCTGGCCATTCAGCAGACACGGGCTCAAGCAGGCCACAGCTTGCTTAGGCCAACAGCCCCGCTTACTAGGGCAGCGAGAAGTTTGTGCCGAGCCCCAAATGCAGAGAGCTTGGCAGAAGGCTACAGGAACTCAAGCTACTCATCAAGGCTTGGGATAGAGGTAGAGGTGCAAGGTGAACTGGTGGCCACAGGACAGAGACCTCCAGCAATTTTGAGTCCTGGCTGGCATCAGAGAGCCTGTCTATCTCTACGGTCTGTCCTTTCCTTGCCTGGCTCAGGGGACACCAACACCCCGCATGCACACCTCCTTATCCATTATGTTCCCTCCTCCCATGCAACTTCCACTTTGCTCAGGGAAATAGTAACTGGGAGAGGATCTGAAGCAGGGATAGAGGGAAACCATGGTGGAGTGGGGGGTGGCAGGCAAAGGCTTAGGGATGGGGGCAGGGGATCTGTCCTGCTCTATTTCACTTTGGAGAGCTCCATCAATAATGCAAAGTCAAAGAGACTTCAGGTCTCAGGCTCTGGACTCTGGGACGTACAGCAGCCAATCAGATTGCCCCCCCCCCACCTCCAGAGTATGAGCTCATGGCTCCTCCCCACGACTCTTCCTCCCTTCTCCCACACTGAGGCTCCTAGGGATTGGTATTCTGCGGGCAGTGCCCCAAGCCTGTGACCTCTCTTAGCCCCGAGAATGACGCACAAATGCCCAGGCCAAATAAGATACAGCAACAGGGACAGACAGTGTTGGCACTGTTAAGGCTTGGACACATCTTCTAGCGCACAGAACCCTGGGGAGGGCTCCCCAATCCCAGCTCTCTTGCCTGCTCCAATCTGGCAGGCAACTGCCAAGCCTCTCTTCTCCCCTCCCCCCAGTTCCACCAGTTACTCCATCACAGCCTCTGGGAAACTGCCACTCAGCTCTGATGCCTGCCTCCCAGTTTCCAGGGCTAGGAGAGGGTTCTCTTGCACATTCCACCCCCCTAAAACCCCCCTACTCTTAATGGAGAAAAGTCCCAGGACCTTCTAGGTGAGAGACAATTTAAGTTGGTATCTCTTGGCATTACCTGGTTCTGCAGTCCCTGGAGGCTACAGAATGCACCATGGGCGGGAGCTTCTGTTGGGGATCTGGCTGTGGCCTTGCTGCGCAAGACAGGGACAGGAAGGGCAGCACTCACATGGCTTCGAGTCTCCCTGTTGCCACAGGAACGGCTGCGACTGAATGGCTCTTTCATGGGGCAGTGGGAGGCCAGCCTATTGGCTGGGATCCCCCATACTCCTCCCTGTCCAGTGTGGGGCCCCTGCTGCCTGGCTCCTTTCATTGTTTATCCACAACTGGCAAGTTCAGGCATGTGGCTCCTGACTGTGCCTCCCCAGGTGCCTGCCACCTTGGACAAGGCGAGTAGTCCCAACTCATGCTCCTTCTTCATGCCATCTTTACGGAGGTGTTGTTGCTTCCCTTCTGAGGTTCCCCCATCATTTTGCAAAAATTTCCCCAGAAACTGGCATGCTGGCATTGTTGTGCATAGATGCATTCAGCTTCCTGTGGGGGACACGGGAGCCATCCAGCTGTGGCTTCCAGCCAGATGGTCCCACACACCTATAGACCAGGCACTCAGCTCACTGGGGATCTTGTATGCAGCTTCTGATTTTATCTGCCGGACAACCTCATACCATATGCTCAGGGCTCTCCCTAGCCTTCTTGGTGCTGTGCTCAGATGTCGAATCCTAAAGTCTTAGTGTGGATGCAAGCTTGAACTTTTTCGGGTACATAACCACTCAGGCTTACAAACATAATTGAAAAGGTTATTTTGTCTATATTAAATTAAAATGAAAAGGAAATCCATAATTTTAAATGGACAAAAGATTTAAATAGTGAATTTTTGGGACAGGTCTTACTTTGTAGACTAGGCTGACCTCAAACTTTGCATCTTATCTCACGTTCCAAGTGCTGGGATTATAAGTATGAGCCACCACCCCTACCTAATGGGTCTTTCAAATGACATTTTTATCACTCATATTTCAGAAGGTTTTAACATTTAAAACTGCACTGACTTGGGCTATGCTGGATTAACTCAGTCCTCCTGGCTGCTTTAAGCAGTAGACGCTAACAATATGTCTACTTGCAGATATGGAAATACTTCTTTCATCTCCCAGTGAGCTGCTGTATTACCAGAGCTGGACGGGTCCTGTGCTCTGCCCTCTACTGTCACTCTGAAACTATCCCCTGTCCCCGGATTGGGAGGGTGGGCCTGTAGAATCGAGAGAGGACCCCCTTCAGGATGCAGATGTCCGTTTCTCTAGGAAACACTCCTTCCTGCAGGAGCAGCCCCTGGATTTTCCACTGCAGGGGAATGAAAGTGAAGCCTGGTGCAACCTGAGCCGCAGCACAATACCGATCGGCCGCGAGATGGTGAGAGAGGCCTCCATTTCACTGGCTGTGCCAAGCTCTGTGTGTCCCCTGGTACTGGCATCTACCCCAGCACAGACTCCTGGGCCCCAACCTGGTGGTGGACATACCCCTGAACCTTCTACCCATGGCTTCTGCTTAGCCCACTCCCTGGGTACCCACACTAGGTGAGTCGGGTTGAAATGAACCCTGGTCCCTTGAGGCAGCCAACCTCCTGGCATCAGGTCACTGTCATCAGTCCCTGTCATTTCCTGTAGCTCACGTGAAGGGCTCCCTAACCTGCCCAGCTAGGGGAGTGGCTTAACCCTCAAGAATCCCAGACACTCCTGGCCCTGGAGGCAGGGGATGGGTGATGCCCCACATCTCCACAGACTCCATGCCCCTTTCTGTCCGCATGTGCTCACCTTCCCGAGGTAAAGGCATATCCACGTCTGCGGCTTTGCTACTGCCTGACAGCGGCCTCCTGCTCCCCCCAAGACAAACATCACGGGCACACCCAAAACAGCACTAAGTTCCTTTCCTCCTACCCAGATGTTCAGGGTAGGTCAGTGGGGAGTCCCAGTTGGTCTCACTAGGTGCTTGGGAACCTCCACCATGGTGACCTCAGAGCTTCCCAAAGCTGCTTGCTAATTGCATCAGAATGTGCTGACCTGAGGGGTAAGATAGGCGAGGGGACCCCGTCACAGTCGGTGACCTGTCTTCCTGGCTGCTTGGATCCCTTGCTACTCTTTCGGGCCACAAGTGTCCACTCTGCAGATGTGGAGAAAACGACAAGAGGACAGGGGTAGTATGCATTCACATGTTATACCTCTCAGGCCCCTTGGGCTCCAGCCTGACCTCTGATCTGTTGCTAGCACCCCTCTCTCTATTAGAGGCTGGTTCTCAGGCGCCCACCCACTTATCACAGGATGCTTCCGCCTTTGGGGGATCGTACAAAGGAATTTGTGTCAGTCTCTATTATTCTCGGTTTGGGAAGGTACCTTAAGACTTGGGGAGGGGATGGGGAGATGAGGAGGTAGGATAAAGAGATCAGAGACTGAAGAGATTACAACAACCATCCCGACATGTGGAGAAGTGGGTAGGCACAGGGGCATTGCTATGGGGTGTGTTTTTGATTTGGGGTTAGGAAGGGTGAATATCTCTGTAAGTCCAAGAAAAAGCAAAGAAACAGGCTTCCTGGAAGCAGAGATAACTTTCAATTCTCTTTCCCATCCCCTCTGCCCAGGTACCTTTCCCAGTGGGTGACCCCTTCTCTTGAGAGAACTCCATCTCTCTCCCCTGAGGGCTTCAGCTGTCCTCTGCTCCCTTATCTTAAGGAGCATTTGGGCTTGGTTACAGGCCAGTGGGTGGCGTCTATCATGCTCCTCCAAACCCACTTAGGGCTCACATGGGTCACTCAGCTGCCCTTGAGGCTCAGAGACCAAAGAGAGAGCTACTGACCTGTATCCAGGGGTACTGGACGGGAGCTGGGGGCTTCTTTCCCAGCAGGGAAGGGACCGCAGTGTAGAGTCCAGAAGCTGGAGTCTAACTGGGGCTGGGTAATCCGGAGCTCAGGTTACGCTAGCTAGATATATATAGTATCTTATCTGACCTCGAAGAGATGGCAACTCACTTGCATTCCAAGCCCCAGGAGAATTAAAGGGGCAGTGACAGGCCCACCTTCCCTCGCCGGGTGATCACGGAGGAGAACTAGCTGGAAAGCTGGGAGGGGATATTTGGAAGTAAACCAGGAAGAATGGAGGGGCGGGGGGGGGGGGGCAGAGCCGAGGGCTGGGACTGAATTAGAGTCCTAAACATGGAGAAGGTGGATTCTCTAGAGCTGTCAGTCACAGACTGAGTGTCAGTCCAGCTGCGGGGATTCTGAGATGGGGAGGATCTAGCTACGGGGCACATGGGCAGAGAGAGGCTGGGGACCAGCACTCAGGTGTCCGTCCACTACTTTTAAAATCTAAAAAAAAATTTTTTTTTTTTAATGGTGGACTTCTACGTCTAGACTCGCATTCCCCTTCTTCCCCTTATGGGATCTAAGATAGTTTGCAAGGGTACTTCAGCTTTCTGAATTTTAGCTATGTAATTTGTACAACATGAATAACAAGGCCAGGGGTGATCACACACACACACACACACACACACACACACACACACACCCCTTTAATCCCCACGGAAGGCAGAGGGAGGAGGAGCTCTGAGTTTAAGGCCAGCCTGGTCTACAAAACAGACAGCTAGGGCTACCCAGAAAAACCCTGTCTTAAAAAATCCAAACCCCAAATGAACAAACAAGCAAAAATCCATGAATAATAACAATAATAGCAATTATGGTATCCCTCACAGTGATGAGATTGAAACAATAGTTTTAAACTTCCTTGACCATAGCAAGAGCTTGAAAAACTACAATCTTACAGACTATTTCCACTTCTTATCTAATTACTACTGTTAGCTGCAGCAGGCAACCTTTCCTAGATGGTGACCCTTCCTAGAAGAAAAAGGCCTCAGGCCACCCCTCAGGGAACTGCACTAATGCCAGAGACCAGCCCTGTGGTTTCCTGAACTGGTCCATGTCCCCAAAATGGAAAGGGCAGACAAATCTTGCCACCTTCCCAAGGCGAAAGGTCAAGCCTGCTTGGGCTCCTTTCCCCTTTGCTCAGAAAAGAATAGCAAGTGTGGCCTCCCTGGGCTGCCAGGAAAATGTCCAGCCTCAGAGAAACTGTTCCAGTCTACCTGTTGGAGGGCTCAGGGTTCCAGGGCAGCAAAGGCAGGCTGGGCAGGGTTACTAGAGGAGGGCGTCTCTGGTCTTGGTGCACCTGTCTGCTCCCAAGACGATTCTTCTGTTTCTTGATGGCTCTCCCTGAAGACTGGAAGGCCCCGGGGCTGGTGCCTCCACCCTGTCTCAGCACAGGGTACTGACTCAGACTAGGTCCTGATGATGCACTTCAGAGGACGCCCTCATTCCAGTCCTCATTCCAGAGTGGCATGCATTTACAGCATCGAAGAGTAGGGGACACCCCCACCCTAGCCCATCTACCAGTTCTTCAAGCCTCTGGTTTTGTGGATTATGTATGTGCCTGTGTATGTGTGCTTATTCCTACGTTTGGAGAGATAAGCAGTCCCTACCAGGATCTTCAATCCGGCTTCATTCTCAAAAGCACTGGGGTCAAGAGCTGGGAGTTCTCCCTCCTCATCAGAGCTGGAAGGGGTTGGCCAGGACTTCGCTTGGCTAGTTGCTTGCCAGGGAACACTGCATGGCTGCCTTTGCTTTGGGATTGGTGAGAATTTTAAAGTTGCCTCTTTCTGATTTGGGATTGGTGGAAAAATTTCCCTTCCGCTTAACTGCTGGCTCTCCCCAAGCCCCCTTCCCCCCCTTCGGAAAACTGACCACAACCCCAGGAGGTTTGACAACAGGGAGGGAGGTAGCTGCATGCGCACATGGGGAGAAAGGGTGTCAGGGTCCAGGCGTCATTCTCAGGTCACACACCACACAGGGCACGGGGACCGGTACCCGCGGTAACAGTGTTTCCTCAGAACACATTGATCAGCACACAGATGGCTCTTCCTGGCACCCTGAGCTGGCAGCTGGCAGCCCCTCTCACACACTGGCACCCACAGCTGGAGTTCCCCCGCACAGCTGGCCCTCGCCCTACACTTCTCATGTCCAGCTTGCCCAGGCTGCGGTTGACACCCTACTTTCCGAGCCTCCAAGCTGGCACTGACCCCGGCTTTCCCCTTCTTGGATCTGCGACAGGTGGCACGTACCTGCCTCTTCTCGGAGGATGGACGAGTCGAACCGGGCACAAGCATGGAGCTGCGGATGAGTCCTGGCTGGTACTGGCGCGGCGCAGCGAGCAGTGGCTGACGCAGAGGGCTCCCTGGCCTCGCTCGGTGCCTGCCCGCCTCTCCCCCACCTCCGCCGGGGGCCCAGAAAGGACCTCCCCGGGAAATCGGCGCCACCCAGCGGGCAGCCGCCTCATCGCGCCCGGGCCGGGAAAGCCCCACCCCGCGTTCGCGTCACTGATATACGTCACGGCTATTGGCTTGTTTCTATTGTGGCGTCAATATAGCCCCGCCCGGCGAGAGTCTCCCAAGCAACCAGTATATACAGAGACCCACGTGGAGCAAAAGCACGCCTGTTTGGAGCCTGTGGCTCGAGGAAAGAAGTGGACTGGAATATAACAGGTCCGGGTAGCTGGAGGGTCTCGTCACGGGGAAAGGCAGCATACCAGCTTTCAGATTTTAGAGAAGGCTTAATGTTACTGCATACTTTCTTACCGGGCTGGGAATGATCTATTCCACAGTCTCTTCTCTTTCTGTCTACTTAATAAAATAAGTTATTTTATTAACGTATTAAATTAAATAAAAATTAAATCAATTAAATTAATTAAAATGAATTTATTTAAGCCAACTATATAGCAGTATTTATAGAACCGCATCAATCAAGCAGATAAGATTGTCTGTTCAACATACTATTACTACGTTACTATTCATACGACTCATCCTATGGGCTACTTATTAAGTACCTTATTAGACACTGTGATAAGTACGTTGCATGTATTGGTTTTCCCATTTAATCTTTTTAATGGTCCTGTAAAATGAGAACCACTATTATAGCCATCTATTGCACAATGTAGCTGAAGCCTAGAGGGTCCAGTGTCACGAGGTGGTAAATGCCAAGGGCCAATTGCATTTCTACTAACACAGTATGGTGGTTCATTTAGGTGACTCACCCCAAGAAAGGGGAGCTATTTTATCTAAACTATTAGCATTAGAATTAAAAAGAAGAGAGGCAATTTGTATTTTAATTTTAAGCAAACCTGACTTCTAAAAGTTATTTACTTATTGTTTAGTTGGTTAACACTTCTAGCCAATGAGAATCACTCTTGTTTGTTTGCTTGCTTTTGTTTTTGTTTTTCAAAACACTGTTTCTCTATGTAACAGCCTGGCTGTCCTGGAACTCTCTCTGTAGACCAGGTTGGACTCGAACTCACTGAGATCCACCTGCCTCTGCCTCCTGAGTGCTGGGATTAAAGGCATGACCCTCCAGAGTTACTCTTAAAGGCACCCTGCTCCTTTGGCTTGTGTAGGACTCATGGTGGAGTAGGTAATTAAGTCAGGGAAGAATTCTCTGAACTCTGAAGAGAAAGCAGAGACTGGCTGTGAGAATGGCTAGTGGATAAAAGCCCTTCCACCCCAGTTTGGTCCCCAGAATTCATGGGTGGAAGGAGTTTGTCCTCTGACCTCTACATGGGCATGCGCGTACAAACACATAAACAGACAAATATAAAAACAACATGAAAATGAAATGCTACCATTGTTGGGCTTCCTCTCCAGGAGAAGAAGAAAAGACTGAGGCACATCTTAAATTTTTCCCTCTTAATTTTTATTACCACCCCTTCTCCCACACTGATGGAGAAAACTGCCCCACCAAGTAGGGTGGTGCCAAGGTATATCCAAGACTTCAGCTTTGCCTGGCTCATTAATTCCTCCAGGTGCCCTTAGCTCCTCCTCCCATTTTCCACACTATTATCACAGCGGGTCACCACTCTCAAGTTCCTCCTCCTCTTACATTTCCCAGATAATTTAGACGCAACTAGAGGGGGATACTTACTTTTTTTTTTTTACCAACCCGCACCCCACTACTTCATTAGTTAGGTAGGTGTGGAATATATGAGGCTCTGTTCTAGATACTGGAGATAGGGAGGCAAATAAAGCAGGCGCAATCTCTCTTTACTGGGCTCACATTTTAGGAGGAACAGAAAGACAATAACAAAAAGTACAAACTACAGTGTGTGAGGTGGCGCTAGAGCAGTGGAAGCCAGTTAGACAGCTGGGGGTGACAGTTCCTGCGTAGGCTGTGATCTGAGATGACCCGATGAGAAGGTAACATACAAGTAATCTGTAAGCACAAGAAGTGAGGCGTGTGCATGTGTAGGGGAAGAATGTTCTGGGCAGAAGGGGCAGTAAAAGCAGCGGTTCTGTGGTGGGAACCATATGCTAACTAGGTGGGTGTGGCTGGAGTGGTGTGTGGATACAGCTTGCCATGCCTGTAGCTGTCTTGGGTCATAATCGTCATGATTTCCTGAGTTGTCTGATTTTTCCTACATAGTTTTGACGTGGGATGTTCTTCTGTACATGTGTTGCTTTTATTAGTTGAAGAATAAAGCTGTTTTGGCCAATGGCTTAGCAGAGTAAAGCCAGGTGCGAAATCTGAACAGAGAGAGAGAGAGAGAGAGAGAGAGAGAGAGAGAGAGAAGGAGACACCATTTAGCTGCCAAAGGAGAAAGATTCCAGGACATTACCCATAAGTCATAGCCTCGTGGTGATACATAGATTAGTAGAAATGTGTTAATTTAAGATATAAGAGCTAACTAGGAATATGCCTGAACCATTGGCCAAACAATGTTGTAATTAATAAAGTTCCCGTGTGATTATTCAAGTCTGGGTGGCTGGGAAATGAAAGTGCAGTCTCTGTCTGCATATTCTCTTGGTGTGCTGGCTAATTTTCTCAAATTGATACAAACTAGAGTTATCTGAAAGGAGGAAACCTCAACTGAGAAAATGCCTTTATAAGGTCTGGCTGAAGGCATTTTCTTAATCAGGCATTCATGGGGGAGTGTCCAAGCCTCTGTGGGTCGTGCCATCCTGGTCTAGTGGTCCTGGGTTCTATTGAAAGTAGGTTGACCAATCCATGATGAGCAAAGCAGTAAGCAGAAGTCCTCCATTGCCTCTGCATCAGTTGCTGCCTCCAGGATCCTGCCCTGTTTGAGCTCCGGTCCTGGCTTCCTTCTGTGATGACAATGACATGGAAGTATAAGCCAAAGAAACCCTTTCCTTCCCAAGTTGCTTTAGGTCATGGTGTTTCATCACAGCAATAGTAACCCTAACTAAGACCCCCAGAAAACTATAAAAGGTAAAACCATTAGAGTCATAGATGGGACTTTATAGTCAGACCTTGGCTCCCTATGATATTATCTTTAAGTAAATAAGGAATATTCAAGCTGGTGTCCTAACCCAATAATGTGCTCCTCTTTTTGGCGCAAACTGTGGGGACTCCACTCGGTCTTGCTGATGCTCAGGCCCACCTTCTGTTGGTCTCCGTACACTGAGAAGGGAGTCCTGGAAGGTTTCGGGCAGAGCAACAAGGCTCTGATTTCTGAATGGAGAATGGATCCAAAGAGAGCCAGAGCAGAACAAGGTTTGTGAATTCACTGGGGAGAAATGATAGGAGCTTTTGCTGGTTTTTGTGGAATTGATGAGAGGTGGTTGTAACCCTGGCATTCTTTGACTGCAGCACGAACAAGGTTTGAGATGAGTTAGGCAGCAAGAGGGAGAGGGAGGAAGTATTTTTTTTCTGAACGTGAGAGAGGGAAGCTGTAGAAGGGGCAGGTTTCGGTGGGGAGAGGCAGGGAGATCAGCCTGGTAGTGTGTCATGCATTTGAGATGAGTGTTGGGTTATGGAGAAAGCAGACGTTGAAGTCTGGTGTGATCTGGGCTGGGGGTTACGGCATTGAGAGTCCTCAGGTTATATAAAACCATGGTATAGACAGAGAAGTGTGAGGCCTGAGCTCTGGGGTTTTCCAACATAAGTGGCTTCCGAGGTGGTTGGAACCATCCGACTGGAGTGGAGAGTGTGTTGGGTGCTAAGGAGAAGGGAAAGAGCCAAGTAGATTAAATGAGATGGATTTCGGAATTGATTTAGAAGATTGATGACCTTGACCGGAAGTTTGGTGGAGTTTGGTAGAGAGATCAGATGAAAATCTGAGTATGGATGAGTTCAACAATGAATAGGAGGCAAGGGATGGAAAAAAACCACCCTCTTTTAAGGTGTGTGTGTGTGTGTGTGTGTGTGTGTGTGTGTGTGTTATAGAACATGGGCCCGCACGTGCTGTGCTGCATAGGTGGAGGTCAGAGGACTTTTTTTTTTCCAGTGAAATCTTTTCTGTTTGTTTTTCTGTTTTTGCTTTTTCAGAGGCATGATTTTTCTTTTATTTATTTATTAAAGATTTCTGTCTCTTACCCGCCATCGCCTCCCATTTTCCTCCCCCTCCCCCAATCAAGTACCCCTCCCTCGTCAGCCCAAAGAGCAATCAGGGTTCCCTGCCCTGTGGGAAGTCCAAGGACCACCCACCTTCATCCAGGTCTAGTAAGGTGAGCATCCAAACTGCCTAGGCTCCCACAAAGCCAGTACGTGCAGTAGGATCAAAAACCCATTGAGAGGACAACTTTTGAAAATTAGTTTTCCCTTTCCTCCTTGTGCTTGGTGCTAACTGGTCCAGTTTCCTACTTCCATCTTGCTGTTGAAACACTGGGATTACGAATGTGCACTGTGGCTTTCATTTCTGACTTGGTCCCCGGGATATGAACTCTGTGGTCAGGCTTGTTTAGCAAGTGCTTTTACTCACTGCCCCATCTCTCTCTCTCTCTCTCTCTCTCTCTCTCTCTCTCTCTCTCTCTCCCTCTCTCTCTCTCTCTTTTAATTTTATTTTTTGGGACAATGTCTCACTATGTAGCCTTGAATTCACCATGTAGCGTGTCTGGAGCAGTTCCCCAATTATACAAAGAGATGGGCTTGGGCCTGGTAGTAGAAAGACTGGCTTTGATGGGGGGGGGGCATGAACCACCTAAAGTGAGGGGAGAAGCCTAGATCCCTGGGGCAGGCTCGGAGGTGGATGGATGTGGTGGGGATCTGGACAGCATCTTCTTTCAGTGAACTAGAAAGTGAGGCCAGGTAGCGAGGCTGGCTGAGGAAAGGCAGGCATTTGCAGAGTGAAGAGAAGTTAGAAGCAGACAGCTATTAAGTTGGAGGTGGTGGAGCAGACCTATAGTTTCAGCCATTCAGGAGGCTGAGGCTGAGGATTGCAAGTTCAAGGCTTCCCTGGGCTGCAGAGTGAGGTCA